ACACAAGTCATAGCTTTCTGTGAATATGAGTTCAAGCTGGTTGACTTTATTTAAATAATATGAGACAAGCCTTATAATAACATGTCATTATTTTTGAAGGCCTATCATTCAAAACAATATCAGTCTTTGATGTATATCTTACCAAGCTTCTGGGTGTAAAGGATTCCAAAATAGTTTTGGTAGAAATTGAGAATAGGCTCTGTGATGCTGTCTGCGTAAGCTGTGTATCCTGCATCAACAGCTTCAGGGCGTGCGTATGTCTGTAGAAAGAAAATACTAATAATCATTATCATCATCATCATCATCATCATTTGATGTATGGTGTGGACCAGCAGAGATACCTTGATTTTAGTAGAAGCACTTTTTGTCTTTAACTCTGACACAGTGAAAGCGACCAGATAGGAGGACATCACCTCTGTGGGCTGGAAGCGTGTGCACTGCCACTCTTTATCTTCTTCCATTATATATGTATCTGGCAAAAGTATAAACCAAAGAGTTCATCGCCTTATTTGCTTTTTTGTTTGTTTGTTTGTTTGTTTACATGCCCTGATTGTTGTCTTAACATTGTACTGAGAGTGCATGTAGAAGTTACCTCCTTTCTGATTGGACAGAGCCGTGGTGTCTTTCCGGTGGAAAATGGTCAGGTGAAAGCGAGCCTTCATGGCAGGTTCATCAAAACAGGGGAACACTGCCCGGGCGTCAGTTGGCTGCAAGTTGGTGGCCGCCATATATCTGATATAACAGAAATACAGGCATGGTCAAATGAGGATGGTAACTATGCAACCTGATGGTCTGGGTTAAAGAAGACTATGCTTTTTTATGGTAGGCTTGTTTAGTATTAAAATATAATGTACATAGATCGTAGTTTTACATTTTCTTCACTGCAATATACTGTTTAATAATCGAATCAGATTAATTGACTTTCTGTTCAAAACTGCAGAACTGACTATCTCTGCTTTGGGGTATTTCACAACTACAGACTTCCCTTTCCATGCACACTTCCTCCAGTTCCTCTGGGGGGACCCTGAGGCTATCCCAGGCCAGCCAAGGGACATAATCCCTCCAGTGTGTCCTGGGTCTTCCCCTAGGCCTCCTCCTGGTGGGATGTGCCTAGGAGGCACCCAGGAGGCATCCGGAGCCTCAGTTGGTTCCTCTTGACGTGAAGGAGCAACGTCTCTCCACCACAATGGCTCAATACAGTGACCGCATCACTGCAGACAATGCACCAATCTGCCTGTAAATCTCAGGCTCCATCCTCCCCTCACTCGTGAACAAGTCCCCGAGATACTTGAACCCCTCCACTTGAGGCAGGGACTCCCTACCCGGAGAGGACAAACCACCCTTTTCCTGTCGAGAACCATGGCCTCGGATTTGGAGGAGCTGATCTTCATCCCTGCAGCTTCACACTCGGCTGCAAACCGCCCCAGTGCATGTTGTAGGTCCCAGTCTGATGAAGCCATCAGGACAACATCATCTGCAAACAGCAGAGATGAGATCCTGTGGTCCCCAAAACAGACCCCCTCTGGCCCCTGACTGTGCCTAGAAATTCTGTCAATAAATACAATGAACAGAACTGGTGACAAAGGGCAGCCCTGTCAGAGTCCAACATGCATTGGGAACAGGTCTGACTTACATATCAAACACAGCTCCTGCTCCATTCATACAGGGACCAGACAGCCCTTAGCAAAGGGCCCCGGATCCCATACTCCCAGAGCATCCCCCACAGGACACCACGAGGAACATGGTCAAATGCCTTTTCCAGATCCACAAAACAAATGTGGACTGGTTGGCAAACTCCCATAAACCCTCAAGCACCCAATGGAGAGTAAAGAGCTGGTCCAGTGTTCCACAGCCTGGACTAAAACCACACTGCTCCTCCTGGATCCGAGGTTTGACTACTGGTCGGATTCTTCTCTCCAGTACCCTGGAATAGATCTTACCGGGAGCCTGAGGAGTGTAATTCCTCTGTAGTTGGAACACACCCTCCGGTCCCCCTTCTTAAACAGCCGGACCACTACTCCGATCTGCCCGTCCAGAGGCACTGTCCCGACTGCCATGTGATGTTGCAGAGACGTGTCAGCCAACACAACCCCACAACATCAAGAGACTTAAGATATTCAGGATGGATCTCATCCACCCCCTGAGCCTTGCCACCAAGGAGCTTACCAACCACCTCAGTGACTTCAGCCAGGATGATGGACGAGTCCACCTCCAAGTCCCCAGCCTCTGCCTCTTCCTCAGAAGGGATTGAGGAGATCCTCAAAGTATTCCGTCCACCATCCGACAGCATCCTCAGTCAACGTCAACAGCTCTTCCCTCGCACCGTGAACAGTTTTTGTGAAGCACTGCTTCTCCCTCCTGAGGAACCAGACAGTTTGCCAGAATTTCTTTGAGGCCAACTGATAGCCCTTCTCCATGGCCTCTCCGAAAACCTCCCAGCCCCGAGTTTTTGCCACTTCAGATTAACAGAGTTCAGTGTTTTACTCCTTGATTCAGCACAAATCTGAAATATGTTTCAGGCCCCTTTAATATTTTTTGTTATTTTTTCCTCATAAACAGCAAATTTTTTACACGTATAGACCATATATGTCCCTGATTGGCTAAGTCACCAGTTAATTACACCAAATGGAACTACAGTAGATTCACTGGTAACCAGGCTCATATGTTCGTAAAGAACTAGAAGTGTATTCTTGATCCCAGGCAAGATAAAAATATGAATTGCTCTCTCACAGTCTCAAAGAGATACATTTTAATTTTGTTTGTCAATCAAATTAAAGCATAACAGAAGATGTGAGGAAAAAATAGCACATAGACATTAAGGTCATGTCTGAGATAATCTGTCAGGACACCCAAAGACAAACCTGTCCACCCAGTACCAACAGGGCCAATGTAAACAGTGAAATCACAAAAATACTGTAACATGAGTTCAGTAATGACATGACATCAACAGCTTCAATCACTGACACTGTTCTACAAACAGACCAATCCATCTGTGATTTGTGTGTTAAAGTAAATGAGCATTACACCAAGTTATATTCTGTGAAAATGTTTAATCACATTGTAATGTGTTGTATTAAACTTTATTACAAAGTGCTCTGAGTAATTTGAGAGCAGGTATCTGTACTTTTTACTCCACTACATTTTTGAACAGGACTGAAAGTGTTTGAGTCTGCGGAGTTTATTTTTAATACCTTTGTGGTTTGAGCAAACAAAAATATACAAATAAAAATAGCTTCAGTTGTTTCTGTTGAACAAAATTCATCACAAATCTATCAAAATCACTACATTTGAAGGCCTCAAAATATAAGCAAAATACTATTACTCTTTACTCTTTAAGTACATTTCTAAATGGGTATTTTTTCATGTGATACTTTCACTTGAATATTTTTTTGCTCTGGTATCTGTACTTTTACTTAAAGGTGCATTGTGTAACTTTTCTGGTGGAGGGTCCGCCAAATGCTTTTCTCCATGGAGATGCCATTGCTTTGTCTGGGCTGTGTGTCACAGTATAATATTAAACTTTTCTATCGTCATAGAGACCAAAGCAGACAAAGTTACATGTCAGTTCATAGCTTGTTGGTATTTTTGAGCAATAAAACTGTCTGTAACTAAATAAATGTAAGGTAGATCTGTTTAATGTCATACTGTGGAACATAAGCAGAGCAATGACATAAATGGAAACAAGAAGGTGATGGACCCTCCACCAGAAAAATTACACAGCGCACCGTTAAATAACAAAATTGAGTACTTCCTCCACCACTGCAAGTAAGTATACCTTCCCTTAACTGTTGGTATGTGTAATATGATTATGCATATCATAAACAACTATGCTAATCATGAATTTAATAACAGCACTCTGAGGTCTATTTCCTTTTCCTTGTTACAGAATACCGTTGTTGTGGAGTGGACAAAAACGTATTTATGGTCTGATTTTGCATATCACGAAATAGCTTCCAGTAAGAGCAATTAAAGTATGTTGTCACATCTGTAACTTCTTTACTTAGCAGGAAGTCTGACAAAATATCAGACTGTAACCAGACAATAAAGTGTTGTTTACAATACACAGTTCACCTGATTGACGTTATCGGATGCCATAACAGTGACCCATGACTTGGACAAATAAAAAATATAAAAATACAAAGAAAAGCTACTATGTCTATGGTTTTTCAAATGTACCTTTTGAAGTCTAGACCCTAAGACTGGGAGTTGAGAGTTGAATTAAAAGTGCACGTTGTAACTTTTTGGTTGGCGGATCATCACCTGATTGTTTCTACAGTATGGATATGTCATTGCTCTGACTGAAATGCTCCACAGTATGGCAAAAACAGTATGGCATTTAATAGCCTGCCTTACATTTATTCAATTACAGGTGGTTTTACAGTTCAAAAATACCTAGAAAATCAGGCATTCTGCCTGTGAGCGTGGTTGCCTCTCCACAGATCTGACCTAAAACTTTGTCTGGTTTGGTAGAAATGTTTAATACCATAATGTGAAACATTCCAGACAAAGCAATAACATCTCCATGGAGAAAAGCATTTTTTCATGTACCTTCTACCAGAAAGGTTATGATTTATAATACAACATTTTCCTTGTTATGAGACTGGCATATGGCAGAATAGTGAAAAGTGAAAAACTATATATATAGGCACAAAACTAATTCTAGATAAATGAAAGGAAAAAAAGCAAATAATCACCCACTTAGTTTTTATATTACAAGTCTGTTTTTACAGTGGGTGTGTGAAGACAAAGAACTCAAATCTGACATGAATGTTATTACAATAAAACAGCTTGATTGATCTGTACTGACCTGTTCACATCGGTGTCCTCTACGTGTGCTGGTGTGCCCTCCAGGTATGTGCTCAAAAACAGTCCTTCCAGCGCTTCATTTAACTCTCCTTGAAATGCCAGGAACAAACTATAATTTTGTCCAACATTCAGGTCATCTATCAATTGAATCTCCAAAAATTCAGATTTATCATTGTGCAATGTATAGTTTTTAACTCCCACATCCTTATTCGTAATTATGTTCTTCACATGTGGACGGAAAACATTTTGGTTGCGGCTGTGAAGGAAGATGGTCTTAGTTTTCTGGACACACTGCAAATAGATAGTCACGTTCCCTTCAAAAGAATACGTTTGGTTGGGACTGGTTACATTGACCTCTTCAATGATCCTGGTGTAGAGAGGAACCTGGATGAAGACGTGGTAGCTTTCGGGTAGGAGGTCCCCTCTAAGGCGCATATCTGGTGGTGGAGCAAGCGTGGTGACTGGCAAAGTTGGTCTTGGTGTTGGTTTCAGAATACGTAACCGAATGTTGTAGACTATAACCATTGTCACCAGACTCCCAATAACAGCAACCGTCAAAAGGGCAAAAACAGCCGCAAAAGTTTTTGACATCATTGAATTTTTCGACATCTTGCTGGTTGTTGCTTGCCTGAACATGGAAGTTGAAAACTCTCTCCAAGACACAGGCAGGTCCGCTCCTGTAAACTGACTGGCCTGTGATTAAGGGTCGTTGAGATTAAGTATTAACTTGAAGGAGCAAAGACTAAAGGAAGGCGTCAGGATGGGAGTGATGTCACGATAAGGCTGGTTGTAAATAAAGTGTGAGATGGGGCCGGAGAGCACATCTGGAGGTGGTTACCGTGGCGGTGCCACTAATGCAGGGTTAGGTTAACCTCCAGGAACACTTTATCCACCAACAAGCAACACATGCAGTCAACACTGACTAGAACCAGTCCAATGTGGAGACCAGTGGAAAAGGGCCTTCAGTCTCTTCTCTAAGCATAAATCATATGAAGAACTTATTGTCTAGGGTTTACAGATTGAAAAACACAATACTCCAGAAATGTTTGAGTCATTGTAATATGGTATTTTAATAATAGATTTTAGTGGTTGGTACTAACCCTAAATCTCAAACAGATATAATGTACAGAGAGATTTTTTGTTAATCAGCTATTATTACTATCAGATATTAAATTACAACTAATCAGTTATTATGTTCTTAACGTATTCTGTAATGGGTTACTGCAACTCTGAAAAGCAGTTCAAGCTAAGTTGTGTTTCTGTTTCTTGCAAAAGATTTAGGTGCATATTAATGCAATTTTCAAAATCCTATAAGAAAATTACTTTTTGGATGTTTTACATTCAATAACTTTTCATTACAATCTTATTTTAACAAAGGGTGACATGCGAAATTACCCAAAATTGTAAGATATACTGCACAGTGAATTAGCAAACTAGTTTAGAAGATTTATTACTATTGAACAAAGTACTAGTTTACTATGAATTATTACTAAAACTGATATACTATCAAAGACAACTCACTTACTCACTAATACCTCACTCTACCTGGCATTCTTGAAACATCCCATCTGTCAAACACCGCTGTCCAAAAAGTTTTTAAATTGTCAGGAAAAAAAATTGTAAGAGTCCGTACCCTTGCACCTCCCTGAAGCATATACTGACTTATCCAAGTACTCGATTGACAAACTCTGCTGAAGTACAGGCATGTGAAGGGGGAGCGCCAGGGGTGGGACAACCACAGGAGATGTGGTTGGGTCAAAACAATAGAGTCATTTGGGACATCAATAAATGGGAACTGACCCCAGGGACTATGAATCATGACCCTCTCCCACAAAAACATGCAGAATAAAAAGAACAGTGGACCGGAGCTGTGTTTGCTCTCGGCATACATGTAGTTAGTGAGAACATCTAAACAACATGGCTATAATAAAAGAGTGAGATGCCACAAGAATGAGGAGAAATCAGCTCTTTCTGTTTTGTATTATGCACGATAATAAACAGCTTCCTTTGGACAGTTATCATATGTAGCCAGGCTTATTTTGGTTGCACAAAAAGCCTAATAAATTCCATGTATTTAGCCACATGTGCGTCAGGGTAAATTAAACTGCACAATGATTCACAGGTGGTAACAGAAAGGCTGCACCAAAGCACATATGAGAAGGTTTAAAGACAACTCCATTCCTCACACTTATTGGATTAAGGGACATAATTATAAAGAAAGTTTCAAGAAAGGTCAAAAGTTTGGAAAGATATTTTGGAAACCATTTTGGAAACAAATTTGAAAACAAAACAATATATTTAAATAATTCTGTGACTGAATAATAAAACTTTAAAGCTTTAAATGGTCATTAAAAGATACATCATGAAAGAGAGAGAGAGAGAGAGAGAGAGAGAGAAACTTTATAGATCCCAAGGGAAATTCAAGTTTTGCTGCAACATTTACACTGTGCTTCTCAGTCGCCTTTGTGTCTTTGTCAAAGGTTTCAGGTCAGTTTAACAGGAGGACTGGTCAGGTAGGGTCAGCAGATCTGTGTCAGGGCAGTTTGAGGAGAAGAACACAGAAGTGGGATCAAGTTGTATTGGAAGTCTCAAGTAAGTCTCGAGTCTTTGACCACAAGTCCGAGTCAAGTCCCAAGTCAAAGACAGGCAAGTCCAAGTTGAGTCTTGAGTCACTGGCCCATAAGTCCAAGTCAACTCCAAGTCAACTGCTTTGAGCTTCAAGTAATTTTAAGTTATTACACTAAAAAAGTACTTAATATAGCTTAAATTTTTGCAGTTTATATGACTTTTAAACTAAATTGTACTTAAAACGTCATGGTATATTCATATATGAGTATTTCTCATATATGAATATATATATATGAGTTGTAGAAATGCAATTTTTTCCTTTTTGACTGTCCTGACAAGAGTGAGAATTATTATGGTCAGAATAGAAAGAATTCAGATTTAAGAGTGCTTAATAACAGTTATTTCGCCATATAGTCTGCACTGAAATGAAAGGATCATGTTCTGTGTAGTTCACTCTGTTTTATTGTAGCGTACTGCATATTACTGTAGTACATTTGAGCATACCATCTCACAGTACTTCAGTTACAACCAAAGTAACAAATAGAAGTTGGGCGGACATGCTCCAGTTTATTCCTGTAAAATTAAGCACTGCATTTATCAACTGTAAAGAGAAAAGATACTTTTTTTAGGAGAAGTATCAAGTCTTCTCAAGTCACAGGGCTCAAGTCATTGTCATTGATCTTCAAGTCCCAAGTCTTTGTCTATTTTATCAAGTCAAGTCTCAAGTCCCAAAAATAGTGACTCAAGTCTGACTTGAGTCCAAGTCACGACTTGCAAGTCCCCACCTCTGGTGGAAGAGCCCCCAGAACAGAAGTGTCTCTCCTCTGTGTCCTGCAGCATCACACCAGTGTCCGGGGGAACCAGGTGAACAACAGGAAAGGACTTGTTCTTACTCCGCTCTGGTGATTTATTGGTGACGAAATGGTTAATTCCCTCAAAGTATATATTTACTGAATTCCTTAAAGGAATCCTATGGGTCTCCTCATCTCTGTAAAGAAAAAGTTCAAATTCTGGGCAGTCTGGCAGTACAGGAAAAAAAACAACTTTACACTGATCCCTTTAATGACCTGCTAAGACTTGGGTTGCCTTAAGTGATTAAGTTTTTCCAGGAAAAACACCCACAAATTGAGATAATTTAATTAGAAAAAGTTACAGAGCAATATTTCATTTTAGCCAGATAAACATGTTAGGTTTGACATACAGAACATTTAGGATGCTTTATACACTATTGAAATACAGAGTAAACTCCAAATAAAGTGGATTATTCCAAATCAAATATACACTGTATACTACTGTGATTAATAAAACATGTCCCTCCCTAACTAAACTCTTAAACCACACCATTGTTCAATGAAAAAAAAAAAAAAAAGGCAAAGTCTGCCAGATGTGAAAACAGCTGTCCATCTATCCATGGCTGCTTAAACAACCTCAAATTGGGGGCCTTACTACTGTAAACATTATTCATTATTCATTTAAAGGGCTGCATGTAAAATTTGGATTTAATTTCATAAATATGCTACATACAGTTCCTTTTTGTCCAGTGGGGGTAACATTGTTCCTTCATCAAAAACATGCCTGGAGCAGTTTGAGATGTCATCCAGGCATATTTAATAAATTTTGCAATCTCTCCTGGGCCCTATTCAAACCCTCCTCACAGTCTGCAGTATCCTGTCCAACTTCACAAACCTAATATGTTGTGCAGTAGTTTCATTACTGGAATGCACGCTGATTGTGTATTGTTACTCTGAAGGGGACTGACTTAGCCTGGGGAGCAAAGGGAGGTGGACTGAGTGTTAAAAACATAACTGAAACTTATTACACATTTTAATGTTATTTTCATTGTTATCTAAATATTTGATGTGCAAGTAACAATTAATACCCTAATAATGTAATATAATGTAATATCCTCTCTTTCAATGGTGGTAAGATGTTACAGCTGCCGTAGCACTGATGGAAGTGAAACTGTAAATCTGTTCTGTCACTCAGCGCTACACTCAAACCCAGGTGAGGTGGGAGAAAGAGGTACTCTACCTACTGCTTCCAGATATGCCCGGTGGTCCCCCATCCCAATACTAAACAAGCCCAAACCCATTAAAGTTTAGGAGATTACCTCAAGATGGTTCAAGCAGTCCCCTCCTTGAACCGTCACCTTATCGTGGTGGAGGGGTTTGAGTGCCCGAATGATCCTGGGAGCCATGTTGTCGGGGGCTTCATGGCCCTGGTAGGGTCACCCAAGGCAAACAGGTCCTGGGGGACGGGTCAGATGAAGAACGGTTCAGAAGCTCCACATGATGAGTTCTAATCAGAGGCCAGTTACGTCGCCCAGAATGGCGTCACCGGGGCCCCACCCTGGAGCCAGGCCTGGGGTGGGTGCTCGAAGGCGAGCGTCTGGTGGCCGGGCCTTCCCCCACGGGGCCCGGCCGGGCACAGCCCGAACGAGCGACGTGGGGCCGCCCTTCCGTGGGCCCACCACCTGCGAGTGGAGCCATATGGGGCTGGTGCAGAGAGATCTGGAGACATGGAATGTCACCTCGCTGGGGGAAGGAGCCTAAGCTTGTGCGGGAGGTTGAGCGTTACCGACTAGATATAGTCGGCCTCACCTCCACGCACAGTTTGGGCTGTGGAACCCAACTCCTTGAGAGGGGCTGGACTCTCCATTTCTCTGGCGTTGGCCAGAAAGTGAAATGAAAGAGATTCTGGCAAACCGCCCGGCGCCTCAGGAGGAGAAAGCAGTTCTTCACCAACACTGTTTACAGTGCGGGGGGAGAGCTGTTGACCTCGACTGGGGACGTTGTCCGGCGGTGGAAGGAGTACTTTGAGGATCTCCTCAATCCCACCGTCACGTCTTCCGAGGAGGAAGCCGAGGCTGGGGACTTGAAGGCGGACTCATCCAGTCACTGAGGTGGTTGGCAAGCTCCTTGGTGGCAATAAGGCTCCGGGGGTGGATGAGATCCGTCCTGAGTACCTTAAGTCTCTGGATGTTGTGGGGTTGTCTTGGCTGACACGCCTCTTCAACATCGCGTGGCGGTCGGGGACAGTACCTCTGGACTGGCAAACCGGGGTGGTGGTCCCTCTGTATAAGAAGGGGGACCAGAGGGTGTGTTCCAACTATAGGGGAATCACACTTCTCAGCCTTCCCGGTAAGGTCTATGCCAGGGTACTGGAGAGGAGAATCCGGCCGATAGTCGAACCTCGGATTCAGGAGGAGCAATGTGGTTTTCGTCCTGGCCGTGGAACACTTGACCAGCTCTACACTCTCCATCGGGTGCTCAAGGGTTCATGGGAGTTTGCCCAACCAGTCCACATGTGCTTTGTGGATCTGGAGAAGGCATTCGACCGTGTCCCTCGTGGTGTCCTGTGGGGGGTGCTCTGGGGGTATGGGGTTCGGGGCCCTTTTCTAAGGGCTGTCCGGTCCCTGTATGACCGGAGCAGGAGCTGTGTTCGTATTGCCGGCAGTAAGTCAGACCTGTTCCCGGTGCATGTTGGACTCCGCCAGGGCTGCCCTTTGTCACCGGTTCTGTTCATTGTGTTTATGGACAGAATTTCTAGGCGCAGTCAGGGGCCGGAGGGGGTCCGGTTTGGGGACCACAGGATTTCATCTCTGTTGTTCGCAGATGATGTTGTCTTGTTGGCTCCATCGAACCAGGACCTGCAACGTGCACTGGGGCGGTTTGCAGCCGAGTGTGAAGCTGCTGGGATGAAGATCAGCTCTTCCAAGTCTGAGGCCATGCTTCTCGACCAGAAAAAGGTGGCTTGCCCTCTCCGGGTGGGTGGGGAGTCTTTGCCTCAAGTGGAGGAGTTCAAGTATCTCGGGGTCTTGTTCACGAGTGAGGGAAGGACGGAACGTGAGATTGACAGGCGGACCGGTGCAGCGTGCAGTGATGCGGTCGCTGTATCGGACCGTTGTGGTGAAGAGGGAGCTGAGTCGAAAGGCGAAGCTCTCGATTTACCGGTCAGTCTTCGTTCCTACTCTCACCTATGGTCATGAGCTCTGGGTAATGACCGAAAGGACGACATCGCTGATACAAGCGCTCGAAATGAGTTTCCTTCGCAGGGTGGCTGGGCGCTCCCTTAGAGATAGGGTGAGGAGCTCAGTCACACAGGAGGAGCTTGGAGTAGAGCCGCTGCTCCTCCACGTCGAGAGGAGCCAGCTGAGGTGGCTCGGGCATCTGTTCCGGATGCCTCCTGGGCGCCTCCCTCGAGGAGGAGGCCCCGGGGAAGACCCAGGACATACTGGAGGGTCTATGTCTCTCGGCTGGCCTGGGAACGCCTCGGGGTTCCCCCGGAGGAGCTGGAGGACGTGTCTGGGGTGAAGGAAGTCTGGGAGTCCCTGCTTAGACTGCTGCCCCCACGACCCGGCCCCGGATAAGCGGAAGAAAATGGATGGATGGTTCAAGCAGTATAACAAAAAATTGAATCTGTAAATCTAAAAAAAAAAAAAAGGCTGGAAAATAGAAAAGATGCATTTCAGTCAGCATAAAGAACATCTTCATGAAGACCTAATTTGTAACTGATTTTGTAGTTAATGTTAATAACATTAATGTAGGTTAACTCATTGTTATAGAGCAAGTAAACTTCAAAACGTTAATTGTTTAATCTCTATTTAACTGCACTTTTATTTTAGTTTCATTTATCAAAGATAATTTAAAGCATAAGAGTAAATATCAGATGTAGTAATAATGTGGTGATCTCACTACTGCTGCATTGCAACAGGCATTAAGCAGCCCCAGTATCACTATCAGAGCTGACACAACTATTGCAACACAACAGAATATGTTTGAGAATAAGGGCCTCTGCTGATTATTGTTCACTACTACACTTTCATGTTCACATTTGAGTGAAGTAAAATTATAATACATACATACAATACATTAATATACTGAAACATAGCATTGGATACACATCTTGATTTATTAATCTTTAAATTATCAAAACAAAAGTATGTACAGTTTAAAACGGTGTACCCCTGAAAACTTAAAGGAATGTCTACATAATTGAATGGACCAAAGTTATATACAGAAAGTTATTCACAGCACCATACATGTGACTCTATATTCTCTATAATGCAGTGTTAAGGCAAATCTTCCAGATCTACTATGTGAGATTAATGAAATGACTAGAAACTGTATTTAGCAAGTTTGAGACACAAATTTATAAATTACTTTCACAACATTATTACACTTAATGAGCTAATGTTAAGCAATTTCCCCTTCAAACTGAAACTTGAATTATTTTCCTTTCATCTGGATATTCAACATCATCCATGCAACAAACTGAAATGACTGGAGGACAGTAGAACAAAGTGCACCCAGCTCATAGCACCAATGACGATTGTCAGTCATAAACAAAATCATTCATTACTTAAGATCAGAGATCATATGCTCTCTCTCTCTCTCTTTACAGGTAAACTGTAATTTTCCCAGTAGAATGTTTGGGCACCTCAGATAATTTTGTAGATTTTTACAGTTACAACCAAAATCCTATTACACAATGTTAGAATGGAAACACAATAATGGGAATTTGTTGTCCTTGAAAACAGAATGTCAATGTTGGTTCAATAGAATCTACAGACGTTATAAAAACCTGCTTGTTGTTTTCATGTTATTGTGCAGACAGCAGTGAGGAAGGTCTTCTGCATAAGCAAAATCACTGGATCAGCTCTGAGATTCCAGACACATGTGAATGACATTTTGCATTAAAAAACAAAAAAGCAAGAAAAACTATTATAGTTTTTTGTCTCTTTTTGCATATAAATAAAATTCCCATTATACTGGATTTTTATCCAAACATGGGTTATACACATAGACTGTATAAAGAAGTACATATACAGTCTATGGTTAATCATGTGTATTTTGCAAGTGAACTGTAAATTGATCTTGATATTTTAAGACAATTTTATCTACTACTTATCTTTCCTTTTTTGCTTTAAGCCATGAAACACACTATTCAAAACTAGTCTTGAAACATTCTATCCTACTGAGAAAAGGTTCACCTCTCTTTTAAGTATGCACCAAAGTCTACCACAGCCAGCTGTCTAAGTGTTGCACACAGTAACACGATTGATCAAGTATGGCTGACATCTCTCCATACATCTGCTCTCTCCATGCGGGGAGAAGCCTCTCATTGTTCAGAGTCTGTAGTTTGGGCGTCCCTTCCCGTAGGACATGGTACAAGCATGGCCAACGACTCTGAATCCTCAGTCTGGTCCTTCGGTCCAGTGTAATCCCTCGGACAATTTTCTTGGCTCGGAGCTCACGAAGGGCTGGCAGATTGAGACAGGAAAACACCAAACCTCTACTGGGAGACACATCTAGAAACTCTATAGACTTGGATTCTAGGGTGTAGGAGATGCCCAGATTTCGCAGCGGTACCAGAATGTGCAGAGTCAGTGACTTGAGGTTGGGCAGGGATTTGGTGAGGGTCTGCAGTGTAGAAGGAGTGACCCCTTTAAAGACCCAGAAGTACTTGAGCTCCAGGACCCTGAGCTGCTGGAACTGCGTGAGCAGAGACACAGACTCGTCTGACCAGTCAAAGTGCAAGCGCATCTTAGAGATTCGAGGACAGCTATGAGTCAGCTTTGTTAGCAGCTCCTGGAAGCTGTTCACCTGTCAGAGAACAACACATTAGAAAAATGCCTGCTCCTAATATACTGGGTTAATTTCAACAAAAACTAAATTATTAGAAAAGGACAGTATTGTAGTTGGAAAAAAAGGAAAGAAGACAATTGCAAAAAACTGTATTTTCTTATTATGAGGATGTTGTTAAACATGAAAGCTGAATCCTGTGCAGATAAGTGCAGATACCTGGTCCATTTTGGTGATGCTGTCCTGGTGTGAACTGGAGCTGGTGTGGACTCGCAGGTCCAGAGGCTCTAAAAGGGTGAAGGTCCAGTTGAGGTCTAGATGGCTCAAGTCTCGGCAGTGCACGTTGTCCAGCAGGTGTGTGAGCAGCTCACTCCACTTGTGGCAGCGGTCGCCCAGGTCAAAGCTTGCCTTGAGTGTCAGCAGGCTGGCTCTGCGGGAAATCAGATGGTGCGTGTAGTGGTGGACCCAGGACTTCCACCTCTCAAACTCACGGTTGGACACCAGCAGACCCTCTTGCCCAAGGTGAAAGACCCCTCGGCGAGAGTAGTCTGCAACCCTCCACAGCTTCCATGAGCGCACCAGGCAGCTCCAGCTCAGACACACAAGAGCACAGCTGCATTTGTCAACTTCATTCAGGAAAGATAAGACATGCAGCTGGCACTCCACTGGCAATCGGTTAAAAGGGAAGAAGTCATCCACTGCTTTGCGGCGACTGCTCACCGGGAGCAGCGGCCGTTTTCTTGGAGACATCACTGTAGGCTGGGAAATGGTGCGTGTGCTCATCAATGGAGGTCACAATCTCCACCGACTCGTCTTGTGGTCCAGTTTGGCCATAAATGTTTCTCTGCCAAAAAAACAAAGAAAATGTTAGATGAAGATTTCAAAATGAATTCTAACTAGAAGATGATATGTCACATAAAATTCAACATTTACAATGACAGGATAAAGAAAATGCTTTTGCTCACTCCTGTATATACGTTTTTTATGAACTTCAAACTGTGGCTGTTTCAGTGTGACACATGATATCACACTGCTTGGCCCCCAAAGTAATTTGCCACAACCACAAGTTGTTTAGTTGTTTCAGACACTGTATCTACTTGCAACATTATTTCAGAGTATACTTGTTTCCACTGTATGGCACAGACCAACAACAATATATTAAAAAGAATCATTAACAACAAACCCCAATCTGGCCGAGTACGATTCTGTTCTGTTATTGCCCTCAATGCCTGGAGAAGGCAACACCATAACGTTGGTTTAACTTGAGGTGTGTATTATAAAAATAGGTAATGTTTTGCTGTAAAACATAAAGACAAAGATATTTAAAAATACCTTAGAGTCGGGGTGGTATTTTTTTCCTTCCGCAGTTAAAGCTAAAATGCTAGCAGCGAACACAAAGAGGGCATTATACACCTTCAGACATTTGAAATGACAAAAAACGGAAAACACTGTTATTATATATCTATACTGCGATGTAGATATCACGTATATGTCACTAAATAGTGATTATTTAACGTTAAATAAATATAAAACTTCTTTAGGATGGAGAGCACTGGAACACAGCTGAGCCTTGTTGTTGTTTTTTGTTGTGGCTCGGAAGTGATGATGTCATCAAAAGTCGCCTGGAATTCAGTTTATATTTTAACGTTTAACGCCACCTAGCGGAGCAACATAGAAGTTATTTACATGGCAGAGTGTGATACTGATATTATCGTACAGTCTATGGATACTATACTAATACATGACAACAAGCTTGCTTATGGCTTTAATTATTAGATTTTTATGTAATGATAAATTAAATGTTTTCATATAAGACGGCTATAACATTTCAGTAAGGCCTATGGGTAACCAGACGTCCCTATTTCCCAGAGATCCCTATTTCCCAGACTTCCCTATTTCCCCGTGACAGTCCCAGTTTTGAGCTTTGTGTCTCCTGTCCCAGCAGATTTATCCAAAACCACTGATTTGTCCCAGTTTTATACAAGAATGTCCCAGGTGTCCCTATTTTTGACCAATCGGATCCCTGCCAGCAGTAAAGAGGCATAAATGTAATGGGCCGAGAGTAGAACAATTTACTTACTCGATTCACAGTTTTATTATTATCAACCGCAAACCCAAACCGAGGGTGTTCCAGCTTTTTTTTTTTTTTTTTTAATTCTGGTGACCCTTACCTATCAATCTACTCCTGTCCATGTTTATGCCATGCCTCAAAATCACCAGTAGATGGCAGGATGACATTAAGAACTAATTTGGGTTTTGCAGGTGACTTTGGGAGAAAGAGAGAGAGAGTCAATGGTACGAATGGATATTGAGACTCCAGGGAGCGTCTATTGTCTGGAAAGGCAATGGGCGGATGTGGAAATTATTATTTATTTGAACATGTCTTGGATCCAATGTGGGAGTTGTGAAGCACGTCGTCTGGTCAATCCGATAGTAAAACACATTCATATATGATTTCTGGACACCATAGCAGCACTTGCAAAATCGTGTGGTTCTGGCTGGTCAGGTAAGCTAAAGTCTCCTCATGTTTTAAGCTTGGGCTGTGTCCACGTTAGCCAATCAGTGAGCAGCGGCAGACTTCTATGGGCAGATGTAGTGCACCACGTGAGTCCGCCCCCTGCAGTCTGTAAAACAACGCGTCTCTTGCCTCCTGATTCATTTGCCGTCTGTGGAGACCTGCACACCGTTATCTTCGCTTGAAAGTAGACCACAGCTAATAAAGACCAAACAACGTGTAACATATTTTGTTAAACGTAAATAAGAGACTTGCTGCGTATCACTGAAGATTAAACAAGGCCGATTCGCAAACAGGCGCTTAGCTTTGTCCAATTTCTGTGTTTTTATTTAAATAAAAGAAACCATGAAAACCAAATTTATCAACGGCGTTTCTTCATCCCCCTCCATGTCGCTGGGACTGCTGGTGACGGAAAATGCCCTGCACGTCCAGCCCGATGTCCAGGAGGACTGTAAGGAGCTGATCCGCCCCGAGGAGCTCGACCCAGACACCAGGCACAAGGCTTACTACTGGTGCCGCGAGTTCCTGCACGGAGCCTGGAAACGGCTGACGGAGGATAACTTCCAAATCACCATCATAAGGTACACTGTGTTCCCCGTTTATTTTGTCAGATTATTTATGCAGCTCAATGAAGACAGTTGGATGCATATAATTTAAGAAGGATGCAATTTAATTAGGCCTAAATATTTATTGTGAATTATATATGGGCCTACATAATTGGATGATGTGATGTCTGAGTATCTGGGAATTTACTACTACACATACAGGTACACAGCAGTTGGGTTTCCATGCTTTTGGGCGGGCAACAATGACATTGCCTTTAGTTCTTGAACTGATCATAAGCTTACATATAGTTACCCGACTTGCCTAACCTTAAATTAAACCCTAACCTTACCCTATTTTAATCCATATCTGAACTTAATGATGTTGATCTAATAATAAATGTGTATGTCTTGGCCTGCTTTTTGGCCACATTAAGGAGGCAGCAGGTCCCATGATGTCGGTGTGTAAACAGATTGTCTCCACAATCTTATTCACACAGTGATATTCACAGTCTGTGTGTTACCCTCTATAATATGTACAAAATTGTTTAGATCCAGATGCCTATAGCCTATTGTTTTGATTGGCCTTTATCCCACTTTGATTGGCTCCACCCACCTGTGTCCTCAGAAAACTCAAATGCTGTTGTCTGCAGAACGAAACTTCCCAAATGCTTAGATAAATCAATGGGCCTTTAATGTTAACCACATATTATTTTGGAGTTGTCAAGGAGTTATTTTTTTAGCTAAAGTATGTAACTCTAGTGCCGTATGTAACTCTAAATGAATATATGGACATACGTAGGCTATATCAGTACATTTACCCCATGTGTGTACTGACCTCTCACAGTTGGCCTATTTCTCTTTTAATTGTTCTAGGGGTGGTCTGAGCAACAAGCTCTTCCTGTGCAGTCTCCCTGACTGTATGGACTCTGTTGGGGATGAGCCAAGGAGCATCTTGCTGCGCCTTTATGGGGCGATTCTGCAGGTGGGGGCCACATCCAACAGCTTTGTTCAAAGTTCTAGATCACGTGTTCATGTGTTTACTTTATTCCTGTGTTTAGAGATAAGTGAGAAACTTGTCAATGCACTGGAGTTGTTTATACATCATTGGTGTTATAGTATTAATTTTAATGGGTGGTAAAGACATTTACAAATATACTGAATCATGCATGCAAGGGTCACGGCATAGAAGCTACTGACAGATAAATCAAATCTAACATTTTGTATTTTCAGGATATGATAAAAGTAAGTGTTGGTGTGTTAACAGTATGTTAGAACAAATCGGAAAATACAGTCAGTGTAAATCTTAGAAGATGTGAAACATTGACTAAACTATGAGAACTGTGATGTGCATTGGGGGTCAGGGGTTTCTTTAGAGCACAATAAACTCATTTACTGAGCCACAAAACATGCACTTACAACCAAAACCCTTTGTATTAGCTGTGTGTTTGACACCATTAGAAGTGTGGATGGACAGAGAGCCCATGTGTGCCTGCTGAAGTGTGGATGTGATAGCCGTTGTTGTACATAGTGATGTACCCCCATGGCTGTACCTGCATGTGTTCTTTGCCGTAGGCATCCCAAAGGAGCGTGCCTTGGGCACTCTTGTTCCCAGGTGAACCCACCCATAAACACGGTACAGTATGAGAGATCTGAAATCTCAGCCTAATACAGAACTGTAGCACACACTCTTAATGTAGCACCATCCGAAGGCTGTCTGCCTCTTTATCTTTAGCTCTGTCCTTTCTAATCAGTGTAACTGTCTAGTCAACAAATGAACTAAGCCTAGGAGCAGTTGGGCACTTGTTGCACCCTGCATCAAGTTGTACAGATCAGTTTGATAATATGCTGCACGTAGAGATACATGTGGTTTTATCATTATCTCAAGACAACGTGGCTTCAGGTGTAAAGGCCATTTAAAGCACCGTCATTCACGTGTTGAGGATAGATTTGTTTTTTCTAAAAAAAAAAATTGATTGAAAATATCTGCACAAACTTCCTGTTCTCACATCTGACTTTTCCTTGACATCACATGACAGTCCTAAGTCATCAGTTTAATAAAGACAGAACATTGTATAACCCAAAAAGTCTGTAGTAATTAAATGATCAAAGTCTAATAAAGGGATATGTGCTGGTTGGCTGGATGTGTGCAGTATCAGCGTCCATTAAGTCATTTTATGTGCTTGCTCATTAAGTATTAACTCAAGTCTGTTAATGGGCACATCAGCCCTTAGCTTTTTATTACCGAGGATGTCCTCAGAGAGCATCAGCACTGTGTTCTTCACCAAGGAAACTCCACAAGGGATAAAGCCACGTCTCTATAAAAGGCTAATATTAAGATACTAGTAATGATTAAACTTAATAGGCCTGTGGTTTCTCAGCACTGGAAAAATGTGCATAGTTAAGTTGGTGCAGCATGCTAACTAAGTTAGGATAACTCAGTGTGTGTTTGAGCTCATACTGTACTGTTACCCTGTAGACGTGAAAACAAACGAACAAATGAAAAAACTGCAAAATATATTCATGGATAGTTCTTTCCTTCTTTTTGTTGATAGATGTCCTGTAATAAGGGGGAATCCAGACTGTCAAACAAAGAGAATAACTTCCAAGTAAGTAAATCAACTGCTCAGCTCACATATAAACACATTATAGATATAAAATTAGAGTGTGTTCAAGTCAGCAGAAGGTTTGCCTTAGCACCATTAGCTAGTTTGATTAAGCTAATGAGCCAAACTTTGAAGATTTTTATCAGGTTGTTTATGCTACTCCACGCACGCTTTACCCTTTGATCTAAAATAGTCTATTGCTCAACATCGTGTAATAATGACCTCTGAGCCTTTGAATCAGTCCGAGTTACATAAGACTGAGGTGAGGTCATCCAAACTCAACATGAGTCCAGTTTATCTTCAGGGTATATGCAATGTCAAAGTAACTGTGTCAGTGCCACCCGTCTGCACCTGTCTCAGTGTTGTCTGCTCAGGCACAATCCAATTTGGATTAGACTCAACATCCCATTAATCCTCAGCTTCACTGTGGAGCAAGGGACAGAACAAAGCAGAAAACTCAGAGGTTCCTGCTTATTTGAAGCTCCATCATGTAACTTTTTTGCCAATAAATAGTTATACAGTGTTGTTCAAAGAGAAGGAGCTGGAAAAAAAAAAGAATATTTGAATTTATGCCATTCTGACTTGAACGCTCCAAGTTTCAGCTACAAATGTATGTTCAGATTTCGTTGATATGGCCTTGTACATATCTCCTCTGAATATATAAACAAACAAACTGAACAAGTTAATGAACCGATCAACTACTTTTACTTCTGCAAAACATATCAATTAGTTTTCCTTTGGAAGCCAATGGCAGTGACGACTGAAGAGTATCGAGTGAAGATCGTTGTACCTCTCTGTAGATATTTGTATTGAGTTGTTTTGTGCAGTGACTTCCACTCTTTTGAAATACACATCAGATCAATATAAAAAGGACACTGTGCACTGTTTCTGTTGTCATGACAAAGCTCACCGTTTCTCCTATTGGCTCATTGACAGTCACAACACAGCTGAGCTAATGGGGTTATTGGCTGCTAGCAGCTAACCTTTCACTTGTGCTAATTCTCCAAGGCCAGTGTTGCACTATTGTCCTGATAAAATGAGACACACATCACATGGTCTTAGTGTATATGAGTCATGTGTATTAGTCATGTGTTGTAACAGTAAGTGTTAGAAAAGTTCACATTTGGGTCTTCAAATTGAGTTACAGGAAGCTCCTGTTTCCGGTGCAAAATGGGAAACTGGGGGAGGGCATTTTACAGTTTGCTTTTCCTTGCATAATGATGAGCCAGTTGATAGTGAATTATTTACTTGTGGGGTGTTTGGCTATAGGATGATAGCAAAGCCAAACAGCCCACACTATTTGAAATAGGCCAGTGGAAACTCATGAAAGAACAAGGGCTACTAGAGGACAGTGGAGCATCAGCACAGTTATACTGGGTCACTGTGTTAGAAACACATGTAAAAGAGCTTCTATAGATCTATATCTTATCCTTACAGCAAAGTGTGTGCTGCCAAACTTTTATATAGGTCTTAATACATGTTTGCATGACATTATGCTCAGATCTCCATTCTTAGTTGCTTTGCATGTTATAGCAAGTCAGATTCCTCTCAATCTTATACTACATGTTGCGGCTAAATCAACTAAAACAACATTAACAACAAAACACAAAATAGTCAGTGAAATAGTATGCAAAGATAAAACACAATAGAATCATTTCTTCAGTAATTAGTTTCTTATAACGACCCTGACTGTTGACATTTCTGTGGTACTGTGTTTTATGTCGTTGTGGTTCAGTTCATTTGTAGATCTGATCTGCTGTGGGCTGCGGGCTGCTGTCCTTGCTGACTCACTGCTGGGCTCTCTGCACACTGTTCTCCTCTGGTTTGTCTGTGCCACAATGATTCTAGTGACACAGCAGTAAGGCCAATTCACATATAAGAATTAAAAGAACCTGTGATCAGCAGTCTATAGCTAAGGTATTACATAACACAGGGGGGACTCAACTCAAAACTCTGGGACTGGGGCAGAATGTGCTGCACTCTCTATTTGCCCAGTAAGCGGAGGGGAAAGTCACTTATGGCCCAAGTCAATGAATGCTCTTTGCATATATGTTCATATAACCACATAGTTATCTATTAGTTATTATTATATAGAAAAGAAAAGAAAAAAAATGTATTGAGTTATTGATGTATTGAGTTATAATACATCAAAATGAGATACTTTGTTTAACTCTTAACTCATACGTTCATAACCATTTCAGCTGTATGTGAATGGTAGAACAATACAATCCGAGCAGTTCTTCTTATCTGCGCTCTGCAGCTGAAGGTCAGGACCGGCGTTCTGGGCATGCTTTCAGCTCATTTGCTGGAACTGACAACATTCATGTTGGAGTCCACAGTACACAATTCCACAGTAAACTAGCCAAAATAAACAGGAATGGACCACATGCTATTTATGAAAACATGATGTGGAAGTACAAAGAATAGTAGTAGAACTTAGTGTGGTAATACTACAACTGTGTTAGCCTACATCTGCAAACTGTAAATGCGTTAGTAGTAACAGCACTTTACTTGTGTGCAGGATTTGAGTTGTTTTCCATTTGTATATATTAGACCACTAGCGCTGCATCCTGCCTTGTATTCTATTTAAAAAGTAGGAAACATAAAAGTGGGAATCCGTTTTAGTCGAAGATGTGTTTAAAATAGGACTGCACTGTAAAGGGAGCATTGTTCTGGGTCTGGAGGACAGCAGTGTGCAACAATAACAGCTTCTGTTAACCTTGGGCCCCTCCTCAGCTGAAGTTTGTGTGAATTCTGTGATAAAAGAAAAAGGACAGGGCTGTCTTCTTACTTCATCAGCTCCAACAGAGAAAGTGCTTCGGTCTGCCAACTTCTCTCTGAGTATTTTAAGTCCCCCTTTCTTCAGTCTCAGCTTTTTTTTTCTTAAGTAAACTCATTCAACTTGGTTGGTATTTTAGTTTTTGTCAGACGAGATTCAGAAGTTCACCCAGGGTTTCTTCTGTTTTAGACACACTTCTTTTGAAATAAATAATTGGTCTTATTTTTATGCAAATCTTTGTAATTTCAGTGTGCCACAACTTCAGCAGTGTTCACTAAAGATAATGATGTCCTTTATGATTAATAACAAATTACAAACATATATTGTTAATAATGAAACTATGTATGATGCGTAATGTCCACCATAGACTCTATATAGCTAACCTGCCAGCCGACACATTCCAAGTAGGAAGTAAGTATGGATGCACTTCCAGCTTCATCTACTCCAGCTCCACTTCAGTTAGTATTGAAAAAACGCTGTATTAACTGCCTCTTTGGCTTCATTTGACTGGAGCTGTGTCCGATGGGTGACGTCACACACACACACCCTTAGTCCACTTCTTTATACACTCTATGGTATCCACTATTCAGAGTTTAACAATTTAACTCTTGAACTCTAGTCTCTGACACATTTCGAAAAGCTATTTTTGTGGTTTAAATAATATCTCACTCTAGCCTTTTTGGTTTCGACTGTGTGGCCTCAAAAAGCTTGATGTTGTATTATTCATGTAGCATGTACAGGCTGGCTGCTGGAAAGTGCCTCTTGTTAAGTGTCTCCTCTTGTGTGTATTACAGGGGGCTGAGGCCATGGTGCTGGAAAGTGTGATGTTCGCTATTTTAGCCGAGAGAGAACTAGGACCCAAACTGTATGGGATCTTTCCACAGGGACGACTGGAGCAGTATGTCCCGGTAAGTGACCTCCAATCGATATGATCAAAGTTTAAATGTCTATCTTGAAAAGGTTCCATACCTTTATAGATCAAAAACAGGATGAACAATTTTAATGGAATATTTAATAAAAATATTCAAAATACTGCAGGGGGGTTGTTGTATTGTAGAGACTGTAATTTTGGGTAATTCCCATCTTGTAACCTGCAGTAGACTTTATTATTTGCATTGTTGTGTAAGGATGTAAAAAAAATAACTGTCCAAATGTTTGAACAGACTGACCCAAAATGAAAAGTTTATTGACCCAAACTGTCTACTCCCAGTCAAATCAATACTGTGCCATAGTCTTGGTTAATAGCATATAATACTATACCTAAACTGTAATGTTTGAAATGTTTTTCACAGAGTCGTAAGCTGGAAACCTGTGAACTCAGCGCTCCCAGTATCTCAGCAGAGGTGGCTGAAAAGCTGGCCAAGTTTCACAGGATGAGGATGCCATTCAACAAAGAACCAAAATGGCTGTTCGGCACCATGGAAAAGTGAGTGGCTGGATTAAGTTTCTTTGTGGGGCAGTGGGACAAAACATGCAAAAGTGAGTTTATCACTATCTATATCTGTTTGACCATGAACTATTTTTAAGTATGTTAATAATTACATTGTGTTATAAAAACAAACCAAGCATAATTTCAGGTATGTTTCTGATGAGGAAACAACATTATAACATAGATCAGAAAATTGCTTAATATGTTCCTTTTGACATTTAACTGACCCTCCTTTCTTGTGTATCATTTTGGCATGTGAATGTGTGCCCTGCGGATTAAACTGTCTCTGAACTCTGAAAAACAATATTGACAACTGTGCGATGTGTATGTGCTCCCCTGGGACGGGCATCAGAAATAACTTGATTGAAAATGCAGCAACACTAAACAAAAATAGATTTATTCATCCATTTCTCAAAACTGAACTAATTTGATTAAACTACAGGTCAAATAATAAAACCTCTGTAGTGGATATTGCATAGAAGGTTGTAACAGGAGTGACTATTGTAAAAGGAATGTATGAATGTCTTGTGACTGCTGATGCATCCATAGGGAGCAAATAATGTTTTGTATGAGAGGAAACAGTAATAAAAACTACTAGTTACTTACAGTTTACAGCTCCTTTTTCATTGAAGTAACACCAGTATATTTCCTAATTACCCACGACACCTTTTACAGTCCTGTACGCAATTTAGATAAGATAAAAGGTGATTTATCTAACCCTCCACAACTTCACAGTTTACTGTACTTTGATTCTGATGAAATCTTGGCAGTTTCCATTGAAGTTAACTGGAGGAATGGTCCGTGGATAATGGATAAATAACAGTTGTAAAGGCAGGGCATCTGACTAAAACCTTGCCATATCCATATACAAATCTTACTCTATGGTGATACTGGTATAGAAAGAACCCGAGTAAAAAGAATGAATGTTGGAACTAACGCAAAATTTACTCTTTTGAGTTTTAAGCTATGTTAGAATGTTTTTACTTCCTCTTAAACATACCCAAAGTCGTGTTTTGTTTTATTCACATACGTTTGAGTAATCTTTTCTTATTTGTCTGTGTGCATCTCCAAAGCTCAAATTGCTCTGTTCTACCTTGTGATGACATATAGTGGTAGTTTTCAAGTTAACAGTTACATTTTACCTTTTGTTCAGAAGAGATAGGCAATTTCAGGGCCAAAATCAATCAAATTATTCTAGTGAAGGTGCATGGAGTTTAGAAACACAGTGGAGCACTTTCTGTATTACAACTTCACATCACAAAGTGGAACAGAGTGATTTCAGTTTGAGAGAAGAATTCAACCTAAATATGCAGGGTTTGTGTCTTAAACATGTGTGAAGTATAATATGAAAAGTATGTCTATAGCAAAATAGTATAACAGACAAGCTTTTGGCTGTTCCAGATACCTGAGCCAAGTGATGAAGCTCAACTTCACCAGAGAGTCCCAGCTGCGTATCTACAACCGCCTGCTGAGCTACGACCTGCCTCATGAAATGGACTCTCTCATGTTAGTTCCTCACATATACAAACTTACACACACACACATATATACACACACTCACCAATAACAGCCACTGGCACTGGATGGAAAGTTCCCAGCAGCTGTCTTATGTAACAGGTGTATGTCCTCACAACACCCATGAAAACAGAATTACGGGATGGCACAGGGCTGACACATATTTTCAGAGATTTGTTTTTGAGCTTAAAAAATGAGTGGAATGTCCGTGTTTGTTTGTCCAGGGCGCTACTGAGCTCCACACTGTCTCCTGTTGTGTTCTGTCATAACGACTGCCAGGAAGGTAAAGCCAGTGCACTTGAAAACAGGCAACTGTAGCTTTTTTCTTTTTGTTAATATTTATTTGTATCTGTTTGAAGGTAACATCCTGCTGCTGAACGGTGGTCAGAGCTCTCAACAGAAGCTGATGCTCATCGATTTTGAGTATAGCAGCTACAATTACAGGTATGTTCACATTTAACAGCCACAGTGGGTTATAAGCCTGTTTATTATGGAGTTACATTTGAAAACAGAATTTAGGTGTGTATTATTAATGATGTATTTATGTAATATTAATGATGTGCTCTTTTGTGTCACATCCCAGACTGCAAGTGCTGCTGAAGTGGCACTAGAAATGTTTGCATATTATCTACAGAGACTAAATAAGATCAGTATTTTTGATACCAGCAATACAATACAATACAAGACACATAGATTAATCCCAGCTCAATAATTTTGTCATCTTTTAATGAATTTCTTACCTGGTGTTTATTATGACTTGGTCTATATATTTTATTTTGTAGAGCTGATAACTGAAGGAGCCCTTGAAATATGCAGATGGAAAATTCTTGTCTTGTGTTTGGCTCTAACCTAGATACTTAGACAATGAGAAAAGTGTATTTTTTCCATCGGTGTTTCGCTCTTCTGTTTCTTCGTACGAGCGCCACCCTTCACTGAATTTAATCTCTGCGTTATGTAACCAGAATTTAGCTGACCAATCAGGAGGCTCAGACTGGAGGGATAACCTCATCCTCAGACCTGACAATATTATTGATGTTGGCCAGGGCAGTAGATTTGCAGAGAATCGCCTTGTGTGTGTGAATTCCTGGGTAGCTGTGGGAAACATTGTCTTTGGCCTTGGCTGGCTCTCTACAAGACAAAGCTCTCCTGTCGAGCCATTTTCACAGCTCCCAGTCACTCTACACCCCCTCCTCCACTCCTCCCTCCTGCAGCCCCCCAAAACACAGTGATGTAACACGTGCTGTGAGGCTGTGGCCCACTCTCTGCACGTGAGCAACCTCATGTATGCCAGGGCACGCCCACAAACACACACTTTATCTTTATGCAGCGCACTGGTCGGGATGTCACGGCAAAGTGGAAACAATGGTGTGAGTGTAGCCTGGGGGAAAAGAAGTTATTGTGGAAACCAATGAGAGAATACGGAGGATCCTACACAGCCAAGCGTTCAAATCATACAGATACATATTGAGTGTACATCTTAAGAATTAACCAGTATTTTTATTATTTCTTTATCAAAATAGCTTGATATTCAAAGTTCTATATTATGCACTGACTCTTGTGAGATTTAAGCCATGTTAAAATGTTGTTACCTTCTCAGAAACTTACCTGGAGTAGTGTTTTGTTTAATTCACACATGTTTGAGTAGCGCTTTATTATTAGTCTGTCTACATCTCCAAAGCTCATAATGCTCTGTTCCGACGTGTGATGTCATGTAGTGGTAGTTGTAGTAGTAAGTCAACAGCTCCTTGTACCTTTTTGTCCAGTAGAGATTGGCAGTTCCAGGGCTGAAATTATTCCAAATGATTCTAGTGAAGGTGTATGGAGTTTAATACCAGTATTACCACATGACTTCTCAGGTAGAACAGAGAGTTTTCTGTTTGAGAGAAAACTCAGCCAGAAATGCAGGGTTTGTGTGAATGAAACAAAACACAACTCCAGGTATATTTTTTCACAAGGAAAACATTATAACATAGATCATAAATTATGTAAAATTAATATGAGCCCTTTAAACATTGCAGTTGTTTTGTATCTTACAGAGGCTTTGACATTGGCAATCATTTCTGTGAATGGATGTATGACTACAACTGTGATGAGTTTCCTTTCTTCAAACTGAACACTCAGGCTTACCCCACCAAAACCCAGCAAGTAAGTACTGCAACGTCACAAATTTTGGACAACAGTACCTTATCTGGGCAATTCCTATTTTACATACCTTTGTTGTGTCCTTGAGCTAGGCACTTAAGCCACACCCACCAAACCTGTATGCATGTATTAGTGAGAATGCTTTGTTTTCAACACACTAGATATAATGCGCTGTAAATGTTTTGTTTGTAGATGTTTTTCATTGAAAGCTATCTGCGTGAGTACGAGCATGAGTTTGAGAACATGGATGAACAGGACCAAATGAGGCTGAAAGAGGAGATGTTTGTGGAGGTGAACAGGTAAGTAAGGCACCAAACATCTCAATTATCAGTTATCAGCAGCAACTCAATATGAACTATTTTGTTATCCAAAGGTTTTCTCTGGCGTCACACTTCTTTTGGGGGTTATGGTCCATAATTCAGGCCCGGATATCCACCATCAAATTTGGATATTTAGTAAGTCCACAGTGAAAGTTTGACATTTAAAAGGTTTAAGTAAATATTACTCTTACCAGTAATATTACTCAGTTGTGTTCCTCAAAGCATGTCTAGGTCAACACATTCAAAACATGTGATCACTATATACTATACTTTATATTTATATTATCTTTGTTCTGTGTATTCAGGAATATGCCCAGGCGAGATTTGAAATGTACTTCCATCAGAAGAGGTTGCTGGGCCTGTAAACTGCATGTGTGTTGGTGAATCACGGCGAAAGGCAATGGAGCTTCAAGAGGAGGTCACTCGCTTTACTGACACTCCTGCAGCGGAGGTTTCAGGCTGTGTTTGGTTTTGACCAAAGCCTTATCTTCTTGTAGCCACATGCTTAAAGTATGTTAACTATCCATTATAGCTCAAAGTTTACATTATGTAACTCCTTGAATAGTGATACCATCTTTGTACTAACCTGTATGGTCAGCTTCTGCCTTTTGAGACCACACTAACACAAGGATTACATTTGAGCTGGACAGATGCTGCAGTTAAATTGGAAATGTTAAACATTGGATCAATGTATGTTATGAATCATTCCCTTATACTTTGTGGGGGTGAACCAAAATGTGAACTACTCTTGGTAGGTTGCTGCTAACTGACACAGACAGTTGCTAGCTAGTATGTATATTATATATAAATATTATTGTGCCAGTATCCTGGCCCTTACTGTTACTTGGGGCTGGCCAAACTGTGACTTGATTGTGACAGGCCACACTGGTTCATACTTGGTGTTAAGTTTGTCTTAAATCTTGTATATTATTTCATGAGAATTAATACTTTGTCACATTTCCATATGCCTCACCAAACAACATGCACCAAATTTTGTTGAATGGGTGGTTCTTATTACTCCCTACACAAATGTTTACAGACAGTTTTCTTACCTTATTAATGTGAATCACTGAGAAGTGTACACATGAACTTGACACTGCATTTTGAGTCTGAGCCAAAACATTCCGCTTTTATTCTGTTTATTCTGACATAGCAGTCTCAAGTGACATAATAGTCACTTGATTTTTAAGCAGCTGCAGTGGGAACACACACATACACTGTTTTTGTGGAGACTAGATGACAGTCTGAGGGGTGGTCGAGCCCTGATACACTATAGATTACAAATGGATAATATAAGCAAATGTATTGGCAGTTTTTTTCATAAGATACTCAAAATCTGGGCATTACTTAAAACCAACATTATTACAAACAAACTTTAATAATGCACATTTTGTAGGCTACTGTCACTTATAACACTACGACTACTATCATGCTATATGTTTAACTATTGCCAGTGGCTCTGAATGGTAGTAGGCTCTGGTTTCCTCCAACCTGTGGGCCTCTCAGGTTAAGTGTGTGAGGCAAAGGTGGAGTAGGGCCAAAGTGTTAGTAACTGGACCATGACAATAAACACAATGACACTTATCTGTTGCTGGGATGACCCACAACTGTTTGAATGTCTGTCAAGGCACTTTAAAGATATTGACCCACTGTTTGCATGTGGGGCTGTTGGAAATGTTTCTTTTTTATAGAGTATTATGTGCTATGAAAATCATATATGGGGGAAGTGGTTTTGAGGAGGAGACTTGTGATTGTTTTTATGAATGAGTGGCAAGGGAACAGTCTCTGGTACATTTCAGTATTTTCTCTATTGAGGCAACATTACAGTGTTACAAAATATTATGTATGTTAGAGTCATGCAAGTCTGTAAATGTTATCATATTGTTTTTCATATTTCAAAGTGTTTATTAATTTGCTGATTTTGTACATTCCATACATGTTCATTCCTGTTATAAATAACACTTGTCTTATGATACGTAACAGGTTCATCCCGTGATTTCACACAGTTTAGAACAAACTTCACTTTCAAATCTTGATAATCAACAAATCACACAAAATTGTTTTATGTAAAGAATAATAAATTGCCTTAGTCTTATAGCATACACTTTGTTTTGTGCCACAACTATACAACACCTATAGGAGTAATGTTTGGGTGCCATTGTATTCATCTGAAGTATTTGGTATAGAATTACTGAGCTGTACATATTGCATATGCTTTGCAACAATAAAATATCAACAATAATTTTGTCTTATTTTGATGTTTGAGTTAATTCAAAGGGAATAATTACAAAAACATTCTCCAGATCATGATTTTATATATTTTTATTCTACTTGCATGCACTTGGAAACTGCTTCAAATAAACACAAGTGCATAGATGTGTACCAGATCAGAGCCATTGACGTATGTTTTAGCAGGCATCATTTACTTCAGCAGTATGTCACATGGACAATATATCTGGGATCTGGCATAAACTATATAAAATTAATCAACTGATCAGTCTGCATTCTGCAACAAGAAAGCCATCTAAGTTGTATCTGAAAATTTACTTTGAGTACATTTCTGTAAAGATGCCAAAAACATCAAGATTTATGCATATACTCTGTTTCCATTTATGTTTTAATGAGATTGAATTGAATATAAGCCAAAAATATTGACTATACATCATGTCAAATATAAGTGCATACATGTGTATACTACTTATGTAATGACCACACCTGGTACTACTTCAACTCAGAGGGAGTCAACGAGAGGCACCACTCACACAAGGTCTTTCCCTGACACCAGATCAGGTCCCGTAGAATACATCTAAGCCTGAATGCTGACAAATAGCATTCCCCAAATGTTATAGGATTTCTTAAGAGTGAACTTTGACCCTTTCTAAAGAAGGACAGGTTTCTTCACAGCGGGGGCCTGGCCCTTTTATCAGCTGTGGTGTTTTCAGTGGATTTATAGGATCATAGTCGGGCAGACAACACACATACAAGGCATGTCATAAACCTAATTTCAACTGTAAGGTCAGACTAAAATGAACCATTTACACACATATATATATCACATGGTAAAAATCTATTATAAGGGATAACAACTGCAGCTTGTTTCGGGTTACTAATTCACCAAAATTAGTCACCATCTGTTCTATGCAAGTCAAATTAAATAATGTTATAAAAACACAATATGACTGTAAACTGTAAAAAAGTACATGCAGCTCAGGTCTTTTAAGGTTTATGTGTATTGTTGGTGATTTTCACGAGATTCCTGCCAACTGTTTCTGATCTTCTTGACAATGAGACTTGGGTTAACAAATTTGGTGCTGACCCTTTTATTTCTTCATATAAAGAATGGACAATACATCTGTAAGGGCATCTGGCATCAAGCTATGCCAAATTAATGGACCAGTCTGCATTTTGCAACAAGAAATTTAATTTGAGTACATTTCTGTAAAGGTGCCAAAACATCAAGATACATAGCAGCTTATACTCTGTTCCCATTTGTGTTTTAATGGGATTGCATTGAATATAAGCCAACCATCTTGAGGTGCAGAAATGGTTTGGCTTTCACAGTATGGAGAACACTCACAGATTGAATTACAAAACTTGACTCAGTCTATAGGACCAGGACCAAACCCCCTCCAACCTGGTCAGAGCTACTGCTATAACTAACTCGTCAGAATGGTTTAGCTCATCAGCACTAACCACAGACAGCTTAAAGAGTGATATATACAGTCTATGGGACTAAGTAAACAGTGGACCGCATTGCATTATCAATCTCAGAGAATGCCTCATACTAAAAACAAAGGGGAAAAATCCCCAGATTGCTGTTGTAAATGGAGAAGCAGTTCAGTCTGTGTTTGGTCAGAGGACTGCAGAGGTCACACCATGTATAGGCCCAATAAAGAGGCCGCGCCCAGTCTAAGATTGTAAAGGTTCTGGCACCTTCTTCAGAGATAAATGTTCACCAAGACTCAACTCAATTTATTTTTTCTATAGTCCAAACTAAATAGCAGTTGCCAGCAGATTGTGTTTTGGTAAGGGCTCAAATTTGCAAATATATTGACACATTCAATATAGATTATAGCTTAATTTGTCAGTTACGACCACTGTTTGAACTAATGGGGATCTCCACAATTTTGATGTTTAGACAAATTTTACAATTTGAAAGAGCAAATGGCACATTTTCAACTGTGCCATAGATACGCAACTGTTTAGGGGTGAGATTCCTTGTATAGCTCCTGGCACCAAACGGCACAGGTCCAGACAAAGGAAGAATGCTAAGTAAAAAGGCCCACCCGTTGGGGGGGTTTGATCTACAGTGAATCCAGCAGCCCTGAGGTTTAGCCTGGAGGGTGCGCACATACAACTCAGACCGGGATAAGTGAAAAGAACAACTTCTCAGAAGTATCCTGTATTAGTTTTAGAACCAGACAAAAATGTTATGAATTTATAAATCTAAAAATGTTAAATGTTGTGCACGTTATCGGTTGAGCTTACAGTGATACAAAACCACACTGTCAAATTTGACCAAGGTTCACAAACAGTCCAACTATTTCAAGATTCAAGAGCTTTCTTGTGCATAAGAAAGGATATGTGAGCACGACGACCACGCACTAGACTAGGCCACTGCTCTTTAGACGCCTCTTGGTTTTGAAGTATAGACTTATTTTAATAGACCCATAAGTTGCTCTTGGTTCGGTTATTCAAGCGCGACATCTGGTGGCACAAAAAGGATTGGTGTATTTTTCGGCGGGTAATGGCCTTTGATTAATGAGAAGGCCTTAAAATCTTCAATTGTTGAGCCGAGCCAGAATCCATAATCCTCTGGTAAAATAAAAACAGAGAGCGGGGAACCTTTAAATTTCGCCATTTCCTGTCACGTTCTTATTAACCTTTAGCCTAAAATTCGACGGCAACGAATCGCGTGTGCATACAGGCCTACACTGTGTTGAAGTTTCTAGTGTACTGCCTTTTCCTATGCGCTGACCACATGAGTCAGCAAAATCAATCTTCAAGCGGTGCTTCAAAAACATGATGTCAGAAGTGGGATTCGAACCCACGCCTCCAGGGGAGACTGCGACCTGAACGCAGCGCCTTAGACCGCTCGGCCATCCTGACACAACGCAGTTAATAAAGTTCTTCATTGAGGAAAAAAAATTCAATAATAATAATGTGTGTCCTTTTGCAAGATAAGCTTAAACAAATAAGGCAAGATTATCATTTCAAATAATGAAAGATTATCATTTCAATCTAACTTTTTAGCTTTTGGGGTAGCCTGAGTTTGCTATAGACATTTTAATTACTTTATAGGACCGTGTGTATTTTTGCTTGCATATATTTATTTTTCTGTACGTCATAAACGCTCTCATAGGACAAGCTGAACTGTACAAAAGAACGCGGTTAACGTGGGCCGTGAATGTCTATCTATAACCTACCTGCTGTTTTACCATAGACTGTAGTCTATGTGTTCTACACATTTGTCCTTTGGCATTCTGTATGCAGTTATAAGAGTTTATATAGGCAATTTTATATAGTTTATATAGGGCAGGCCTTTCTCTCATACAGCCAATGCCTTGCTAATTCGACAAGTGGGCATCTATCCACTGTTAGTTATGCATAGATTTTAATTTTTTAATATATATTTATTATTAGTTAGTTAGTTAGCAGCAGCAGCAGCAGCAGCAGCAGCAATAGTAATAGTAGTAGTAGTAGTAGTAGTAGTAGTAGTAGTAGTAGTAGTAGTAGTATTTTTAGTTTTGGGGGCATATTTAGCCTTGGCCTGTCATGTTTCACGAAATTGCACGATCTGTTCATAACAGTCAACTACGTGTATTTAAGATTTGCGTGAAGTGTCCGGAAGTGTCATTATGTAGAAGGCTGAAGCAGATCTGATGTGTTTTTCTTGATGCGCCTGAAGGTCACGTGAACTTTTGGCGGCACCGTCGGTCCCTTTGAAGTAAGCTACATTTAGCCCGGTTCAAGTGCTCAGAGCTACTTTAAAAGGTATGGATGTGACTTTTTAGATTTTAGACGGTTTTGAATACTGAAACTTATTCGTTTGTCTAAAACTGAAACTGGGCAGCTTGATGAAGCAATTCATACATCTCTCAAGCAATTTTTATTCAATTGTAATGATGCCTTTTGGGGGTTTGAACTGGCAAATTTTATGCTAATTTGATGTAGGCTGTGATATGTCTGTGACCTACTGTTTTACACGTTTTGTCTTTTTCCCTATTGTGTGCAATTTTAAGAGTTTATATAGAGTTTATATATAGGAATATAGGTCTAGATGTTTGTCCTAATATAGCCAATGCCATTTGATACTGCCTTGCATGTAGACTTACTTCCACAACTGAGTATCCATCCACGTTTTTTTTTTTTTTTTTTGTCAGAACTATGAATGAAGAAGCAGAAAGCCTTGTTTGGGAGTCACTCTTCTCCCCTGGAAAGAAGAAAAAAAAAAAAAGAAAGTCAAATCATGTCACTCCAAAGTATTGACCCAAAAATCTGAAGACAGCACCCCAAGAAAGAAAAAGAAGACTGCAAAATCCAAGGAAACAACAGACAAAAGGAAGGCAAAGAGGAAAGAAAAGAAGAAAAACAGAAAAGATAAACTCTCCAGACTACTCAACAGTTTGGAAAATGATTTTGTAGATGAACCAGAATGTGCTGAGAATGTAATATCGGAAAATACCACTAAAGAGCCCAAGAAAAAACAGAAAAAGCAGGTAGCATTTGATCTACCGCATGACAAATTTCAAGTTAAACGCCCTAAATTTTCATCATCTTTACTATCACCTGTACATGATAGCCCTGCTCCTGTCAGCACCTGTCAGGAAGACACAGAAGTCACTGAAGCAAGCCAATATCAAGCCAAAAACAATGACTCCCAAAGCACTAGTGAGGACATGCATAGCCAAGACCTGTTCATCACTCAAAAGACATTCAGGCTTCCACCATCAGAGCTGTCCAGTGGGGAGACCAGTGACAGAGCAGAGGACAGCACAAAGGGGATGGAAATCTATATTAGAGAAACTAAAGAACAGAGTGTTTTTTTTAAGACTAAAAAAAAAACCCAGTTATATCAAGGAAATACAAAAAGCAGTCCACCAAATCCTTTCCTGGATGAGCCCATTGTGGTGACCAGCTCCCTTGATGAAGACGAGGCTAAAGAGAGGGTAGTAAATACGAAGTCTATGAAAAGTGTCTTCACTCAAACAGAAAACTTTTTCACCACAGATCTCAGGCTTTATTTCAACTTCTGTAAGAAAAGCCAACACCAAGCACAGTCAGAGGAGCTAAAACCGCTTGACCTGTGTCTGCCAAATAGAGCCAGGAGAGACAGTAAAACATCCAACAAAGATCAACACGAAGAAGGTAGTGGAAAAAACGTCACAGAAGTCAGTGCAGGAGGATGTGGTGAGCTGTCCATGTGCGCACAGAGGAAAGGGGAGCAGATCCCCAGCCCAGAGTCAGAGAGCGACAACAAGTCTGCAGATACGACTGTGTCCAGTGAGGACGCCGAGGGGCCGAGCCTCGCCAGACTGGAGGTCATGCAGGTGGGAGAGAGTGAACACATTAAACAAGAAGGTCTACATCATTTAAAAACAATATTCTGCAATAACAATGTAATAATGTAAGAATATACATTTATTTTCTTTATTTTGTATTCATTTTTGACAAATAGCAAAACATAAAGTAATAATGGGGTGTAAAAAGTAATATTTTTAAAAGCAAGAAGTTTTGTAGAGACATATAAATATGAAAAATATTTCATTAAGTCCGAGCTTTCCTCCCACAACAATATTACAATATAGATAATAGATTCTCCACAACAATATTTAATGTTTTAACACCAAACAAAAGAGACCAGAAGTGGGCAATACATTTACTCAAGTAACTTTTTAAAGAAATTGCAGTTTTCAGAATACTTTTACAGCAGCATACGTTTATTCCTACATGAGTAATATTTTATTAAAGTAGCAGTACTCTTACCTGAGAAAAATGTTTGGTTACTCTTTTCACAGTGAGTAAGTCTTCAAGAGACAAAAGCTTTATGTTGACAATTTTAAATTATTTTTTTAATACTTGTGTTTTCTTAGTTTCTTAGTCCCATTTTGTGCCTATCCTATGAAAATAAATGTGTGCACCATTTAATGGTTTGTCCTTCACATGACATTAACATCACATGATAAATCAGACATTAAGTTAGTCTTCAGTAGTATTAAATATCCTTTCTTTTTTACTCTTACTTGGGTAAACTGCTATATTTTTTACTTCTATTTGAACAATATTAGTTTGAAGTTATTTAATGTTTTAAGTAATATTACTGCTACTGCAATTTTTGGTTACTCTGTCCACTTTGAAAGAGACCCCTCTAGTGCTTGCTTGTGCACACATAAACCGCGGCATGGCATGGATTTAGTGACATGTGACACTGATGTCTGTGGTTTTGTTGTTGCAGGTTCGTGCTGTTCAGATGAGACTCAATGAATCGTTCTTCTTTAAGCCAAAAGGAGAAGCCCCTTCGCCCAGATCCGAGTCTCCACTCATGAAACTGGTCCAGGGCCGAGAGCTCAAGAGCCACAAGAGCCGCAAGAGCCACTGAAGAAAACTCAGAAAACAGCCTTAGGTCACTGAAGAAGACATGAGATCAGTCCACTCACTGAGACACGACAACAGCGCTCAGGAGACAGCCTTACATCACATTCTCTTTCACACGTTTATGCAGTGTTTTTGCATTTTCTGAAGCCAAATGTAAAATAGTTGTACAAGTTAGACACCGCTTTGGGTGAGATGTTTAAGTGTGAATGTTTCATAACATTTTAAAGTTTCATCTAGATTAACTTTATGGCCATAAATGTGTTAGTACCTTTTCTCAGAACTCACTTAATTTTTGTTGTCATGTGTTTAAAATGAACAGATTAGGGTTACTTGTTTCTCTGGGTTTTTTTTTTTTTTCATAAAAAAATTTTGATTGTGCTACATAAAATGAGAACCAGTATATAAAGTGCCTGTAAATGTATTTATTGAAAAAATTTGAAATAAATATTTACTTTTTTGCTTGGTACACATCATCACAGTGTTGAATACACTGTCAACATGCAGCAAACAGTCTGTTAAATGCATTTCAGAGATTACCAATTTGAAAAACTCAAATCTCCAAGACAAAGTTCCCCAATACATTTTAAAAAGGACTTTAAAGATTAGATTACATTTTTACAATAAATCATCAAGGGCAGCATATCATATAGTCTAGTTGTGCCTGAAGAGCTTGATGCCTATCCAGCTCCACAGGTGGAAGAAAACATAGACAGGGATGGTAACCGGGAGCAACAGGCTGTAGAAACACACGCTGTTACCACTGGTGCAGCCCTGAGGGAAGTTCTCATCCACCGCTGCAGAGTAAAACAGTCCACACAGGGACAAGAAAGGAACCAGCCCCACCAGCAGAGGCAAGGCTATCATGGCTTATTGTGTTCACTTAATGGTCATATATTGCTTAGTCTATTAAATGTGGTGGTCCCTACTCCTGGGCGGGTGTCTCTGGAGTTTTCTTGATCAGTCTGGCGTCCTGGGGAATCATGTTGGGGATACCATCGACAATTGGATATGCAATTCCAAGTTCGTCATTGATCAGTTCATTGGTTTCAGCTTCGTACCTGGAATGAAAGTAAAATTATTATTCTGCAACAAGTGAAAGCATTTGTTTTATTTTATTATTTTTAAGAATAACAAATACAGGACCAACCAACTGTAGTATGTTAATGTATTATAATGGCAGTACATTCTTTTATACTCTTATGCAATCATATGACAAAAGAGCTGTGAATTATGGGTTTTATAGACAGTATATTAGCCTTCTGTTTGTCCAGGATCATTTAAAGGGCCCATTTTACATTATTTTCTTATAATGTTGTTTCCTTATCACAGACGTAGTTGAAGTTGTGTTTTGTTTCATTCAAACATGTTTAAGACAAACCCTGCATATTTAGGCTGAGTTCTTCTCTCAAACAGAAAACATTCTGTTCCACCTTGTGATGCCATGTAGTAGATAATACAGGAAGTGCTCCACTGTGTTTTTAAACCCCATAAATCTTCACTAGAATCATTTGGATGATTTCAGATCTAGCCAGTCTCTCAAGAAACTGTCAATCTCTTGTTGAACAAAATGTAAAAATGAACTTGCAGACTACCACTACATGACATAAGGTATTGTTATGTCATGTTTTTGAGCTTTGTAGACAGACTAAGGTTACTCAGATATGTGTGAATGAAACAAAACACAACTCCAAGTGTGTTTTTGAGGATTTAAGAGCATTATAACATGATTTAAAGCTCATAATGATCCAATTTGCGACAGGACTTTAATTTCCACATTTTCTAATTTAATTTCTATAATACCAGAATAACACTGAATAACTCATAATATCACAGCAGCAAGATACCACAAATACAGGCCAGTGCAGTATTTTACCTAAGGGGCTTCTTGGACAGAGGGCAGACGAGCACGTCCAGCAGAGAGGCGTCAAAAGGCGGCTGCACCGTGTTCTGAACGGGCTCAGAGAAGCTCCGGGCCGAGACAACAGCGGGACTTATGGCCGGTACACGAAGCGTTTGTCCCGCACAACGACGAATAACAACTGTCCCCGTCGACAACCTTCTCAAAACATGATAAAACATGACCAAAATCGTCCCCCTGGCTTGCACCACTAACACAAGGAAGCGCAGTGGTACGTGCAAATTTCTACTTCCTGTTTAGGGGAAACTGTGTTCCTTTTAATAGTTCCGCTTCACAAGATGCAGAGTATTAATTTAATAGAGAGATTTCTTTTTATTTACAACATGTATTTATTATCTTACTACATTTGTATTAAAAGCATACTACGTATATCATCATGAAAGTATAGTCCTTCCGTATTGTTTAAGAGCTTTTGTCCAAAAGGTGGCAGTGTTGCGCTGTATAACTTAGCATTTACTTGCGTGAATTGTTTTGATTAAATTGAATTTTTTTTATTTTTATGAACCAAATTAATGTTTGTACTGTAGGCCTATAGCCCACCACAATAAACGTAATTAGATAATAGCCTAATAAACATATTAAACCATAAGCTGTAAAATCATTCGTCTTTTTATTCATCTTGTAGAACTCTAAAGCTTTAGGGCTAGTTGTAATTAAATATATTCTGTAGCCCTTATTAGTTATTTTCTCTGTTTATAGAAAATATGATTTTGATTGTGGGTTTATTTTGGTCCCTGTACCCTGAGCATTCCCGAGCATGATTTCCCTGCAGGATACAGTATCTCTGCACAATATTAAATATTGTGGTCCAAGCTTGTGCCAAAGCAGGATACGGCTGTAGATATTGTATTGAGACTTTCTTGGCACAACTCCTGCTTGTTTAATACAGCTTCCAGCTATAATACATCCCCTATCCCACTGCTCTACAAGACTAGACTTTCAATACAGAGGAGGATGCCTACAAGTTTGTGGATACTTTGTGTAGTGTTCTCCAAGGAGATATCCATCATTTCTGTCACACTCCTTCGAGTATTGGGCAAAGCGAGGACATACAGGCAGAATAAAAGCAGTCAACCTTGAAAATAAAAATAGATATAGGGCTATTGGACACTCACCTCCTTACAAATGTGTTAGGGTCACATCTATTACATCTCACAGACTGACAGAATTATGAGAGCATAGACTGTATACAGACCATTATGCAGACCACCCTGGTAATGAATGTCAGAGGTTGTAGAGGTCAATGGTGAAGTTTCACAGAAACAAACAACCAAAATGTTTTCAGAAGAACACCATCTATTCTCAAAACTTTTACAGGTTCAATTAGATTAAAGGTGTTTTGTGCATTTGCCTGGGATAGGGTTGCCAGGAATTTTCCACAGTATGGCATTAAACCTATCTATCAAATATTAATTTATGTGTTGTTGTTTTTTTTTTTTTTTTTTTTTTTTGTTTTGTTTGTTTTTTGCTTGAAAAACGTGCATTCTTACACAGATCTGACCCATAACTTGGTCCAGTGGCATTACCAGCTTGTCTTTGTGGGAAAAAAATGAATGAATATTATTCATCATGGAGACAAGCAGTTGACAAACTTTTCTTCAGAAAAGTTTTGCAATGCACCTTTAAATAAATAGTTGAATTATGGATCAAAAGTGAAAAAAAAAACAAAACAAAAAAAAAACACTTCCTATGACTCTGTCTGATCTTGTAGCTTCACCAGTTTCTGCTTCAACAGTGAACCTTTGATTTACACGAGGGCCTGAGTGCATTATGAGTGAGCTCTGTGTTTTCCTCTTTATTGGCCTCTTGTGCTGTGAAAGTGTTGCTGACGGAGTCTGAGAAAAGTCCTTACGGAGCAGAACCTCACAGCACTTTGTTCAACACCCAGATTGGTGTTGTCATCCTCTCTCTCTTTGACTTTGATATAACACTGAAACTTCTACTGAAATCTATTCAAATTTTTTAAGACCTGCTGGACTGTATGATCAGTCATGTATGTGTTTATTGATGTTGCATTTCTCAAAACAGAATCCAGTAGGGGTTGTGAAATAGTTATGTTCATTTTTCAATATAGCAAATGTTATCTTGCAGATAAATTGTGAAGAATAGATGAGACATAAGGCATGGTCATGGTTTAAATATGCATGTTAAGTTAATTATGTAGCATATTCTTATTTTATAAAAGACTATTTATAGTAGTATGTGCTGTTGTAAAAGTTGTAAAATAAGATCATCTTTATATGAGATCTCATTGCCCTGCCTGTCATTGCTTATTGCTCTACTTGTATGACATTAAACAGCTCTACCATAAATTTATTAAATTACCGATGGTGTCATAGCTCAAAAATACCTAGAAAAGCCATAATAACTGTGAGTGGGGTTGCCTTTTCACAGATCTGATCTGAAACTTGGTCTGGTTTGATCTCCATGAACATGGAAAGGTTTAATACCATACTGTGAAAAATTCAACACAAAGCAATAACATCTCTATGGAGAAAAGCATTTGACAGACCCTCCACCAGAAAAATGACAAACAAAAATATACACTGAATAAAATTAAAAGTGCAATATGTAATTTTTCTGAAGAAAGGCCTGCCATCTGCTGCTCATGGAGATGTTATTGCTTTTTCCTGAAATGTTCCACAGAATGGCATTACACGTATCTACCTCTAATTCTATATTATTCACATCCAAGAGAGCAATAGCATCTCTGTGATGACAAGCAGATGACGGACCCTCCCTTCAGGAAAGTTACATAGTGCTCCTTTAAGATACAAAATAAAGTAAATATAGTAATAATACAATTTCTATTCTACAGCTACAATAAGTTGTCAAAGTTGCGTGTGACGGAGCATTAATGTGGTTATGATACCGGGGGTTAAAAGGTTGAATTACAATTTGCAGAGTACAGGGCTGTTGCAGTGCACTGTTGGCACTAGACCATTTTGCTGCTCTCAAATGGACTGCTGCTTGTGTGTGATTTATGTCGCCACTGTTGAGTAAGCACCGCCGAGACTGTAAAAAGTCAACATGCCTGCCTCACTACCCCTCCCCTGCTCCCCCAGTCCCCCCGTCCCTCTGTCCCTGTCCCTCTGTCCCCCTGCTCTAGTGTCCAGGAGAAGGGTCTGAGGACTGGCAGAGGCTGTGTGAGGGGCTGATGGCTGTTGGCAGGGCATTACCCACTCTGTGCCAGCCTTATTACAGCACTAATATGTGTGAGCTTTCAGAGCAGGAGGACGAGCTCTCATCATCCACGGCCATCATCACCAGAGCAGCTCAGCACTTCAGCAGCGGCCGCCTTCACTCTGCTCCAAACGATCAGCACATTTGGACCTAACATTTAGATGTAACATGGGCTCTCAAACTTTTCAGGCTAATCCAAAAATAAACCAAAATAACCATTGCTACCAACAGGGACCCTTACAGTGAAACTGAATTGACAGCAGTAAGAATTTTAAAGGCCAAAACATGTTAAAATACATTTACTGTATTTGTCTAGTTTATTGTGTTATTGGACTAAGGTGACATTTAAGCTCATACATAATATCTGTATTAACCTTTTGTAACACACAGAGGGAGATATTAGCCAACATAGATATATCTGCCGACATATTACATCCCTTAAAACCAGTACACCCAAAACACTTTAGGGTGATAAAAATAGCATTTTATAAAATTTTTGTGACATCAGTGCAAAAGTGATACATTCTCAAAAGAAGTTAAAAAGTATGTCACTTTCTCACGACATTCAATAGATAAACATGGTCTTTTATAAACTCTCAGCATTGTTAAAATATAGTCAACACTCTAAAATGTTACAGTGCTTTGCTTTTCTCTTTACCTTTTTTACCTTCAGGCTGGTCTTATTCTAAGTCCTCAATACAGAAAATATATGATGTAAAAACAAACTGTTGAAAAAGCCTAAATAGCTTTCATACTGTACCTGTACACAGCACAGACCTGCATTATTCATGACTCCTCATTATCACTGAACATTATTTTGCTGCTGCATATCTCTCTCTCTCTCTATATATATATATATATCTGTTATTTATATAGTTATTTTTAGAAGAGAAATCCATATACCCCTTTTCGAAATGTCTGAATTGGTTTAATAAATCTGTAATGATTGTGAAAAAGATTTTAATCAGGTAAACAGTTTCTACAGACAGTTTTATGAGGTGCATGAAACTCCCAAGGTTCTCAAAAATAAGCATGCAATATCCATGTGTATCTGATTCACATAAACAGGACAGAACATGAAGAAGTGAACGAGATCAAAATGTACATGGGGATGAATTGAGTGCAGCTCCACCTCTGATGGTTTCCTGCTGAGTGGAGGCTTTATCCAATTAGAAACAGGAGATTAGGCCTTTTCCTGCCAGGAGAGCTTTCATTTCTATGCTGAAATATTGCTGATATGGCACTTCTGCCTTAATCTGATAATCAGATCCTGTAGGATTTTCCTCTCTCTCGCTCTCCCTCTGCCCCTCTATTCACCTAAACCCTCTGTGAGCACTTCTCATCCTCCTGCTCCTCAATTTCACCAAAGAATATTCCACCTTTTAGATATTACCTTTGGTGTTTCATTCCGTCTCAACACATGAAAATTTGTACAATAGTCTTCATTTTTATTTAATTTTAGTTTGCATGAGATGTTCTACAGTGCAAATATTAACTTATCTATGTATATACTTTAACATTAAAATCCAGACATTTTTATTGCCAATCCCGGTTGAGTCACCTGCTTGAACTTGATTGTCTTCAAAGAGATTATGCAGCTTTTAAAACATTTTGTGGAAACTTTCAGGCAAAACAACAATATAGATATTCCTCCTCCTCTAAATTTACGTAGAGACCCTTTAATAATAGTTAGTTGAAGCCTCTGCTCAGATAATATAAATGCTTTTGATAAGAGTATAATTTTATTACTGATTCTCAGCTATCCCCTTTTGGATAATGTGGCACTTAAGAATGAGTTAGATCCAGATGTCACCCAATTCCCCTTAAAATCATCTTCATCATTTTAAATTTTTCGAAAATGGTGCTATATGAACTAAACATCTGGCATATTCAAAGCATATTATTCATTTGAATCAAACAAAGCATTATAGTTGCAGTAAAATTTAGCAGAATACCATTTATTTTGTGTTTCTATCGTGTCACACAAGTTAGCCCTGAAGGATCAGTTCCATGTTTATTGATTGATTGAATGTG